AGAATTTTTATTTCATATTCACAATTCTTTAATGAAATTGTTTTTTTAATACATGTTATAAAAAATTAATCATTTATTTATACTAATGCTAATAATCACTAATTTTAAGTAATATGACAGCTGCAACTTTGTGCTCCCTGCATGTTGCTGCCATCTAACGGCGTATGCAACTAATATAGGGCGATAGTCAGTGATGGGTTGTGACGCGTCACACGAAGTTTTGTACGTATAATACGTTTTCGACGTAATATACGTATAAAATGTATAAAACCATGTAGAAAACCACTGACATTTTGACATCTATATATGATCCTCCGATTTTTGCCATAACGAATTTTTCTTATCATTCTATTTAAATTAAAGTCTTAAAATAAAATAGAAATGGTCAGAAAAAGTAAAAGAAAATCTTTTAAAGAGGGTTTGCCCTGGGAAAGTGTAATGAATGATGTATTTTAATGAAGAATTTAAAATTGCCGCTCTTAAATCACGTGATCAAATGTAATATACATCGTGTAGAAAACTTGGCACGTAATATACGTAGTATTATACACGTAGACAACCACGTATTATACGTCATGTATTATACGTATCCATCACTGGCGATAGTTAAAATTAAAGAAATAGTGATTATTAATATTAATATAAATAAATTAGTATAAATAAATAATTAATTTTTTATAACATGCATTAAAAAAACAATTTCATTAAAGAATTGTGAATATGAAATAAAAATTCTGCAACTTTTTAAAAAAAAAAAGAATTTTATTAAAAAAATTGTAATTGTTAAATAAATTTTTTTATAATTTCTATTTGATGAATGTTTAAAATTTGTAACTTTTTTCAAATCTTGGCGCGCGTTCCGCCGTTCGAAATTGAAACGTAATTTGCTATTCCAGTAAAAAAGGATTTTTTGAAATATCAGTTCGGACAATTGAACAAGCCGTTTGCTCAATTGTCTAAAATGCATTCGGACAATTGGAGTGTTTGTTCAATTGTCCAATACATTATGCCCAATCATCCGCAATATTTCTCGTGTCTAAAAAGCTGCTAAAATAATATGAAAAACTATTGAAACATTGAAAAAACGGTAGAAAATGCATAATTCTTTATATATACAGAAAAAGAAAGTATAAAAGTACCTCGATCGAGAAAAAGGAAAGAGTTTTCCAAAAAATCACTTTTTAACTGACAGTATACTGCTGTACTTGACATTTTATGGGTAAAGAAGAGAAGATTATGATAATGAGTGACACTTCATTATCGACTCTCAATATTTGTCGAATGGTAAAATATAATGATATTTCTATTCATTCTTAAATTATATATATATATATTTTATTTCTAACAATTTTTAAAATTTTATCTATTTGATGTATAATTATAATATATATTATAATACATAATATAAATAATTATAATTATACTTATGTACTAAATAATTTCAAATAATTAAACTAATTTTTAATTTAATTAATGTAATTAAAATTTAAATAAAAATATTTAAATTAGTACTAAAAAAATATAAACATATAATAAAAACATAACAATAAATGAAATATAAAAGTAAGAAAATTTTTAATTCAATTAATTCAAAAATTATTCCTTTTTTAAAAAATCAGAAAGAAATCTACTGTTGTATTTTACCATTCGACAAATATTGAGAGTCGATAATGAAGTGTCACTCATTATCATAATCTTCTCTTCTTTACCTATAAAATGTCAAGTACAGCAGTATACTGTCAGTTAAAAAGTGATTTTTCGGAAAACTCTTTCCTTTTCCTCGATCGAGGTATTTTTATACTTTCTTTTTCTGTATATATATAAAGAATTATGCATTTTCTACCGTTTTTTCAATGTTTCAATAGTTTTTCATATTATTTTAGCAGCTTTTTAGACACGAGAAATATTGCGGATGATTGGGCATAATGTATTGGACAATTGAACAAACACTCCAATTGTCCGAATGCATTTAAGACAATTGAGCAAACGGCTTGTTCAATTGTCCGAACTGCTATCTCAAAAAACCTTTTTTTACTGGGATATGTATCGTGCATATCTAAAGTGACAGATTTGACAAATTTCTCTTTTTTCCTTAATAATTAAATAATTCTCAATTAATTTAACATAAACAATGCAGAAGTGAACTCTTAAGAAGTCCATCTCTCAATTACAAAATGTTTTTTGAACAATTTAAGCTTATTTATCAATTTTTTTACGTTATTCCTAATGTTGACCCAATTAATTAAGTTAAATTAATTAAATTAAGATATAATTAATTAATAATAAGTGTTTTAAGTGTACAGTGCATACAGTTGTTGAATTACCATATATATGTATATTACCATCAGCGGCAGCTGTGATACGCGCGTTAAACCCTAGATGGCGTTAAGGGTGACTTTGTGAATGAATTTCTAAAATTAAGCCCTTGAGTGTCAAATGTGGAAGTGAATATATAAGTTTTAAAAAAATATATCAATTTATAAAAACAAATTTTTTGATTTGTACAAATATAAAAAAAAAATTTTATACCGAACAAAAATTTTTTTTAATGAGAAAAAGTTTTTTTTGTATCAAAATTAATCTTTCTCATTTCACTGAGAAAAAAAATTTTTTTATTCAGAAAAAAAAATTTTTTTAGGGAAAAAAAGTTTTTTTATGTAAACATTAATGTTTCTCATTTCATTGAGGAAAAAAATTATTTTAAGAATAAAAAATTTTTTTGGAAAAAAGTTTTTTTCAAAATTAATCTTTCTTATTTTATTGATGGAAAAAAAATTTTATTAAGAAGAAAAATGTTTATTTCTGTTATTTGTTTAATTATTATTATTATAATAATTATTATTTAAAATTATTTTTGTTATTTGTTTAATTATTATTATTATTATTATCATAATTAAACAAATAACAAAAATAAAAATTTTTTTTCTTAATAAAATTTTTTTTTCATCAATAAAATGAGAAAGATTAATTTTGAAAAAAACTTTTTTCCAAAAAAATTTTTTATTCTTAAAATAATTGTTTTCCTCAATGAAATGAGAAACATTAATTTTGACATAAAAAACTTTTTCTCATTAAAAAAATTTTTGTTCGGTATAAAAATTTTTTTTTTATATTTGTACAAATCAAAAAAGTTGTTTTAATAAATAGATCTATTTTTTAAAAACTTATATATTCACTTACACATTTGACACCCAAGGGCTTAATTTTAGAAATTCATTTACAATGTGGGGGATTCGTTACCGTTTCCTCTCCCCTCAGATATGTAAAAATGTACGCATGTGCGAATGACTATCAGCGCGGTTTTGCTTTCTGGTTAGACCAGTCGCAGTTAGCGAGTTAATTAATTGTGATTGATCACATGTCAATCTAGCCAAATATAAATTGTAATAATTATCCTGAACCTTTTTAATATTTAATAAATTGTTATATTTGTTGTTAAATTGGAGTTGTGTTTGTTTGAACATGGGACTTGTGGATACCCTTGGTTTTTATTTAAATTAATTACTTTTATCTAACCAAAAACCCACAATTGGTGACCCCGACGTGATAGCGTGGTTATCACATAAAGATGTTTTGTACATCATTCAGCTCCAAATACTCAACATAAATTATCCAACATCAATCTGGTGAACAGCTGATGTGTCAAGGTTCGTGGAATTAAATTGCAACTCGCAAAATTTTTGCCGCATTCAATACTCACCACGTGGCAAATGGCTGCCGTTCCGAAGCTTATACGGAAACACGATGCCTAATCATCTAGCAATATATTTCAACTTCGATCCTGTTCCATCTTCGATCGATGCTAAATTGACGAGGGGCTGCTGACTTTGGACCTGGAAAGTTCGTTTCCAATTTGAGAGCATGCAGTTGACGAGTTCGACCGCTGGAAATTTTCCTGAAATTCCTGAGACTAGTGCAAAGGGTTTTCCTGTCAACGCAGTCACGACCATACTATCTTCATGGTGACGTAGTCACCGTTCCAAGCTCGGCAACAGATGTATTGCCATTTCTGCTGCGACTCTTCTTTACGACAACATCGATGACATCAGAATACAGCGACCATCGAATTCAAGTTCTCTACGGTATTTATGTATATCTTTTCAGCATTCATTTTTGTGGTGAATTAACTTTAAATTCATTCAATAATTTATTAATTGTGTAAAAATTTTTTTTCTTTATAAATTCACATTTTTTTTTCTTTATTGTAAATTCAAATAATAATTTTCATTTTTTTTTCCAAATGATTTTTTTTTTAAATTCATTTTATAATGTATTATTTTTAAAAAATGTTCTAAATTGTTTAAAATTTTTTAACTGTCATCGGAATATTTAGCGAAAATTCAGCAACGATATAGATGTATTTTTGTTTGGTGTGTTACTTCGAAATATCTAATCCCCATATTTCGAAGGAAATAGCATTGATAAAGTTCGTCAAACTCAATATAGTCAAAGTTATGTATATATTATGTTACTTTACTGATATTGCACTGCTTAGTCGACAGTTTTCGCGCGATTATTTTTGATACAGTTAATAATTTGCTTCTCATATTTTTCAATCGATTATTTTATAATATTTTTTTTTTCTAAAAAAGAATTTAAATAGATTAATAATTTTTTTTGAATTAATAACTTCTAGAGTTTTGATGTTAATTATTAACAATCTGATGTTATTGTGTACAGTGTTTATTATTGTGATTTTCGTCGAATAATCAATTAAATCTGCTCACTGCTGCCCACGGGGAACTCAACGTTTACCACATTCATTAAAAATTTTTTTTTCTTTTGAGTGATAGCTTTATACATATATAATATATTGTTCCTTTTTCTCTTTTATTTGGCGGTGGTGAGACGGTTTTTCTATTTCTGTCGATTTTTTTAATCATATTGTATAATAATTGACAATAGGATTTTTTTTTTTTGGTAATGCCAATTTTATGATTTTGATTTCGATTTTTTTATCGGTAATTTTCATTTATTGGTTTTTGAATACAGTCATAAAGATGGCTGATGATGAAGAAAATCCTGGTGAAGCTCAAAATGTGGCACCTGTTAATTACAGAACACCTAAGCTTCCAAAATTTTTCCGCAATGACCCGGAACTTTGGTTTGCTCAGGCCGAGGCCATGTTCCTATACGCGCGTTTGACATCCGAACGAGCCCGGGCTGGCGCTGTCATTTCGGTTCTGGATTTCGACGTCATCCAATCAGTACGAGATCTAGTGACCTCCAACCAACCTATCCTTTATACGGAACTTAAAGAACGTTTAATTTCTAATTTTGCTACTTCTCCTGAAAATAACTTGCGACAACTGCTAAAGGGCGAGATTTTAAACGAAGGAAACCCGTCATTGGTATTAAGTAGAATTAGGAATTTAAGTGGGGGCCAATGCAGCGATGAAGTTATCCGTGCAATTTTCATTGAACAATTGCCATGTGATTATCGCGTAGCGCTAGCATTATCAGAGACAACGGATCTTCAAAGACTCGGTAAATTAGCGGATATTATCCATGACACAGCCGGGGCCAGTGGACTCCAAACCGCCGCGGTTTAACGCGAAAAATCTGAATCTGATGATTTGGAAAAAAAGATCGATTCATTGACAAAAAGATTTGACGAATTTCTCACTAAATCAAGTAATAATGCGGGCAATTCTGTCCGTCGTTTTGATAATAACTCGCGATATAGAAATCGTTCAAGCTCTTCCGGTCGCGGTAAGTCGGACTCGGATAAAAACAAAAAAAATGAACTCGGTATTCAGTTATGTTACCTTCATAGAAAATTCGGTTCGAAAGCAAATAAATGCACGAAACCGTGCGAATGGCCTGATCCGGAAAACAAATAACGCCGTACCGTTGCGAGACCGTCGGTTCGGTTTTAAACTCAAAACGTTTGTTTGTTAGAGAACGACGTTCTGGTCCCAGTTTTTTAGTTGACACGGGTTCCGATGTTTCTTTGATTCCTGTTTCTGATACCAATCGTCAAACTAAATCAAATCACTGTCTTTTTGCTGCTAATAATTCTAAAATAGAAACCTTTGGTTTAAAACGCATTGTTTTGGATATGGGCTTTAAAACTAATTTCACGTGGAATTTCTACGTAGCCGCGGTACCGTACCCTATTTCAGGTGCGGATTTTTTATCTCATTTTGGGTTTACCGTAAATGTCCGTCAACGAAAACTAGCGTATAGAGGTGGCGAATCGACAGTTCAAGGCCGGGTAGAAAGCGCTTCTTTGTCTGGTGTCGGTGTAATAGATAAATCAACCCCTTGGTCAAAGATTGTTTCAGAATTTCCTGAAATTACGTCAGACACGAAATCTAACATTCAGGTTAAAAATGTTGCGCATTATATCACTACCACCGGTCCCCAGGTATCAGAACGCTCGCGAAGACTAGCCCCAGATAAATTACAGATTGCAAAAAGAAAATTCGAGAAGATGCAGGAAGACGGTATTTGCCAACCATCGGACGGCGAATGGGCGTCCCCCCTTCATATGGATTTAAAAAAAGATGGTGATTGGCGTTGTTGCGGAGATTATCGCAGATGAAATTCGGTGACTATTCCTAGTAAATTTCCGGTACCATATTTGCATGATTTTTCTGCAAATCTATACGGTAAAAAAATCTTTACCAAACTTGATTTAAAGATGGCCTACCACCAGATACCAGTTGCGCCAGAAGATAGACCAAAAACTGCTGTGATTACACCCTTTGGGTTATTCCAATTTAACGTGATGACTTTCGGTCTCCGTAATGCAAGTCAGACCTTCCAACGGTACATTAACCGTGCTCTTGGAAAATTCGATTTTACCTTCACTTATATAGATGACATTCTTATTGCATCTTCCTTAGTCGAAGATCATAAAAAGCATCTACGTGAAGTATTACAACGACTAAAAGAGTTCGGCTTAAAATTGAATTTACCAAAATGCCTATTTGGCCAAAAAGAGCTAGAATTTTTAGGTCATTGGATATCTTCTGAAGGTATTAAACCAACCACTGAGAAGGTGGAAGCCATAGTCAATTTTCCGAAACCCAAGACAATCAACGAATTGCGTCGCTTCTTGGGCCTTGTGAATTTTTATAGGAGAAATATTAGGAAAGCCGCGGAAACTCAAGCCCCGCTCAATGAGTTTATGAAAGATTCGCGAAAAAATGATAAGCGCATAGTTCCGTGGAATACTGTGGCTGAAGAGGCATTTGATAAAATGAAAGAAAATTTGGCTAATGCGACGTTATTGTCACATCCGTCACACACAGCTCCTATGAGATTGGTAACGGACGCCTCTGATTTTGCCATGGGCGCAACCGTGGAACAGTGGCAAGATTCGTCGTGGAAGCCACTGGCGTTTTTTTCTAGAAAATTTAATTCGGCACAAAGGCGATATAGTGCTTACGATCGCGAGCTCACGGCTGTTTACGAAGCCATTGTATATTTTAAACACCTACTCGAATTTAGAAAATTTACTATCTTTACCGATCATAAGCCCTTAATATATGCTTTTAAACAGCGCAGTGATAAGGCGTCAATAAGACAACAAGACCAGTTATCTTTCATCTCACAATATTCAACCACCATCGAATATTTACCCGGAAATGAAAATGTGGTTGCTGATTCACTATCGAGGGTAGATGCGCTCAGGTTAGCTTCCGATATTAGTCTAAAGGACATTGCCGATGCTCAAGATACCGATGAAGAGCTCGTAAAAATTCGCGAAGATCCAGCTTGCTCACTTAAATTACGGAAGGTTCTCTGGGGTCCTGATCACACCTCAGTTTTCTGTGACGTTACCGGTGAGTCACTTCGTCCTTATATTCCGGCAAATCTTAGAGAACGAATCTTTAACCTTTTTCATCTCTCCGCGCATCCGAGTGCAAAGGTGACCGACCGAATCATAAGAAAACGTTACGTTTGGCCTAACCTTCACAAAGATATTGCTCGATTTTGTAAATCATGTCTAGACTGCCAGGCGTCAAAAGTATCGCGTCATACTATTTTGAAACCAGCCCATTTTATCGCTCCGGAAAATCGTTTCCAACATATCCACATAGATATTGTAGGCCCCTTACCCGTTTCGGAGGGTTATCGTTATTGTTTAACGATCATTGATCGATTCTCAAGATGGCCAGAGGCCATACCGCTTTGCGATATTGAGGCAATAACGATTTGTCGAGCTTTTTCGGATAATTGGGTACCGCGATTTGGTTCGCCAGAAACAATAACTACCGACCAAGGTAGTCAGTTTCAGTCGAGACTTTTCGCATCGTTAATGAAGCTAATCGGAGCAAACAAAATACATACTACGGCATATCACCCCGCCGCGAATGGGTTGGTCGAACGATGGCACAGGACGATGAAGGCCGCTATAATGTGTCATGCGACGAGAGATTGGTCCCGAGTTTTACCTACAGTCATGTTAGGCTTGCGAAACAACGTTCTTGACAGCGGTTCATCTCCGGCGGAATACGTTTACGGCACTGCTCTGCGGATCCCGGGCGAGTTTATTCTTCCTGAAGAATTTATCCCTAATCGCCAGGATTTTCTTGAGGAATTCCACGAGCATATGAGAGCAGTAAAACCTGTTCCAGTGCAACATAGACATAAACGAAAAATTTTTATGCATAAAGATCTAGCCACTTGTACTCATGTTTTTAGAAAGATTGGCATTGCCAAGAAGTCCTTGGAAAGACCTTACTCTGGTCCTCATAAAATTTTATCGCGAATTTCTGATAGAGTCTATGAAGTCGACATTAATGGCATCGCTAGTCGAATTTCCGTCGAGAATTTGAAACCTGCATTTTTTGTCAGGGATGATTTAGACAATATTTCGTGTCCAGTTCAACCCCCCGTGGGCAGCAGTTTGCAGAAAGAAAAATCTGACGTTGGCATTCAGCCCGAAATAGCATTTCAAAGTCTACCTCAACTGCGAACTTACTCACGAAAGAAAAAAGTTAGTTTTTGCGAAAAAAAGAAATAATTGTACCTTCGCAAAATCAGTATTATTTTTATTCAAATTACATTAATGTTAATATTAAATTGACTATTAGTCATTTGAAAGACTGATTTTTTGTTTAAATAAAGAATTAAATTATATTTTAAAATAAATCTCGAGATTTTGAATTGTTGTAACAATTATGTATAAATGTAAATTTCTAATCATATAACGATTTTTGGATAATTTTTTTTATATAAAATATTAAATGAAAACTCGTTTAGCTTATTTAGTAATCGAATTTTTCGAAACACGATTTATTGTATTTTTGTTAACGTAAAATTCTAATTAAAATCGCTAACACTGGGGGGGGGAGTGTGTGGGGGATTCGTTACCGTTTCCTCTCCCCTCAGATATGTAAAAATGTACGCATGTGCGAATGACTATTAGCGCGGTTTTGCTTTCTGGTTAGACCAGTCGCAGTTAGCGAGTTAATTAATTGTGATTGATCACATGTCAATCTAGCCAAATATAAATTGTAATAATTATCCTGAACCTTTTTAATATTTAATAATATGTTATATTTGTTGTTAAATTGGAGTTGTGTTTGTTTGAACATGGGACTTGTGGATACCCTTGGTTTTTATTTAAAGTAATTACTTTTATCTAACCAAAAACCCACAACAAGTCATCCTTAACGCCATCTAGGGTTTAACGCGCGTATCACAGCTGCCGCTGATGGTAATATACATATATATGGTAATACAACAACTGTATGCACTGTACAATTAAGGCCAGGTCCAAGTCGTGTCAGCTGTTCCATTGAACCTTCACAGGAACAGCTGACTCGACTTGGACCTGGCCTTAAAACACTTATTATTAATTAATTATATCTTAATTTATTATTATTATTGCATAAATAAGCTCTCTAAATGTATATTAACCATTCCTAATAGTTATTTACTACATATTTCGTCGATTAACAATAATATTTCACAATGAACCGAAACGTAACCGAATCGTAACCCAATTCGGTTACAACTCGGTTTTCCCAATCCGCCAGGGTTACACTTTATGAAAATCATGTTTTGAAAATCAAAAATAAGTTGTAAAATTAAATAAGTAATAAAATGTTTAAACTATTAATGTCGGGTAAGTTCGTGCGGTAAGGTTCGTCAAATCACAAGTCGCGCAAGCAAGATACGTAAGTTAGGTACGGGACATGCGCAATTGCTCAGAATGTATATAGAGACATGCATAATACCAGGTCATGGCTGGATATACAAGGCGCAAAGCTAGTATAAATGCCAACGTCAATCTTTACTACTACTACTAGAGACATGCAGCAGAAGACGAATTAATAGATTTCTACAAATGCAGGTAATTATTAAATAATAGTTTAATTTAATGCTGCAATAAAAAGTATACTTTTATTTATACTTTATTATTTAAATTTTTGTTTCGCTTTTAATTTTCATTTATTGTAGCAGAATCAAGAAAATTACTATTATGCATAACCTCAATTATATACATACCCTGCTAAAAATAAAATCACAGAACGTCAAAAAATTAGTCAGGATCTCTGACGTTTTGAGACTGTTTTTGTTACGATTGCAGTCACAGCACACCACAATAAGTGAGGTTTAGTCAAAGAATCGTCAATAGTAGTCAGATTTTTTATGAGGGTCGGAGCTGACCCTTTTTTTGGCCATACCATAAATCATTAAACCTTGTGACTATTTGTGATGTTAAATGACATTTCTTTCTATAAAATAGTTTTCAAGATTCCTGACTTACTTCTCATGAATTCTGACTACAAATATTTAAAAATTAAGATAAAATCAATCTTTTATAATTAAAAAAATAAATAAAAATCATTTATCGTACAACATTTTTTTATCTTTACGTTACACATACTCAATTATTATTTTTACAATTTATTATATTTATTTACCCTTATCGAAGAAAATCTCGCAAACGCAGGGAATCGAACTCGCAACCTAACGAACGCAAACCGAATACCTAACCCCTGAGCTAAACTAACCTAACTGAGATCTTAAAAATAGAATACGGTTTTATGAAAATAGAAGATCTTATTACTTTTTTTCAATTTTATCAACATATTTTGTTGATGATTATTATTATTATTTTAAAAAAATTTTATAATTTTTAAAAATTAACAAGTAAAGGTGCTTATATACCTCAAATTTCGATCAGATGAACATTATTTCTGGACCGTGAAAATGCGTGAAAAGTCATTTTCACGGCGGGTATTTTTGAATTGTTTTAAACAAAAAATGTTTTTTTAAGAAATATAATATTAAATAATTGTTTTAATATGTAAGAACACTTTAAAATAGTGATAGAGAGATGATTTGATTAAAAAATTTAGCAAATTTTGCTTTAAAACGCTTTCTGCTACAAGAAAGTGTAAAATGGCGATGTTTGTGAAATGGTTTGTACAGTGCTTCTTCCTTGTGAGTGTCTCTCAGAGTTTTGTTTATGTTATGTCGTTTCTTTTTAACTTGTAATAAATAATGAGTGCTGAAAATAAATCGGTAAGTTGAAATGTTTATCAAATAAATTTAAATTCTACTAATTGTTTCGAATAACTG